TTTATAAGGATAATGACATTATGAATTATCACTCCGAATTTAGTTTCATTTATGAATTAATACAGATATATTACAAATAATATAATTTTCTAAAAAAGATTTTGACTTTAACATCCAAATCAACACATTAATAAAGTCTCAAAAATACTTTACATATAATAAGATAGCATAAGAATATGTATATAATTACAATAGTGGCTCCAAATGAAGCTCATAATAAAAACTCTTCGTATAATAGTTACATCAAAATCTTAGATTTGTAACTAAGTGACTTAGGTTCACACTAAAACTTAAACTACAAAAATTAAGATACATATTCCAAAATCTTCGACCCAGACTACTCTTTAGCCAGACTCCTTAGTATGTAAATTAAACATTCCACCTGTCACTCATACTCACGTACCATAGGACGATCATTGCAGCACACACAACAACACAAACAAAAACAAGGATGAGGTTATATAAATAAAAAAAAATATCATAATTACAGGGTATGAATATACCAAAATCATTTGCACAACACTTATGGTTTACAACAATTACAACAATCAATACAACAATCTCAATCAATTAATTCAGCATGTCCAGCCTCTTTCCTAGCCATCTAATGCAAATGCAGCGATTCAGTTTTCATCTAGTTTCACAGCCTAAGTAATCCAGAGGAACTATTCCGGTCTAGGAGTAACCTATCCCGGTATTTGGATCTAGATAAGTACAGCTCAATGTCCTAGGCAACTCTAGGATAATAATGATGAATGTGATGCAGTACAACTAAATCAACATATTACAGCACAACAAATATTCATTCTCAGCTCTAGCAGTACAGCAAAACACACAATTTCATTCAACTTTAACAACTCAGCATTTCAATATACAGCATACAGTAAAACTAAATAGCTCCAAATAATAATTAAATATTTCAGCATATATAACACAACATTACAGCATTTCTAACAATTAACATACAACAGAGAATACACTCAACCATACATACTTTAGGTTTTACTTTAAAGCTTATTCATACAAAAATTGATTCTCAGCTAAAACGAGATTATCTATCATATGAGCCAAATCAGCTTAGTTAAGCAACCGAGAAATATACTCAGCTACTACGCTGGTTTTGACCTAGAATATGATCATTCAACGACTTATTCTCAGCTATAACAGGAGTAAGTTCACAATTAACTCAATATTTATTTGACAAATAAATCAGCTTAGATAAGCTCCCCTTACCTGGAACGAGTTTCAAGATCTTACTTCTTGTGAATCCCAAAGGGATAGATAAACCGTTTGGATATGAAATACGACTTGGACAACTCAGATCTACTCAAAACAATACAATTTAAGTCTCTTGAAAAAGAGAGAAGAAATAAGATAAAAACCAAAAAATTGAAGTCCGAAAACTCACTTAGATCTTGCTGAGATAGAAGATCTTACTTTAACCGGGAAAAAATTCAGCTTCAAGAAGGTTTTCTTTAAGAAGAGGAAGTGAGAGAACAAAGAGAAAATGAGAGAGAAAAGTTGTCCGGTGAGAAATAAACTTTTATGGAGCTGAGGGTCCTTAAATACCCCTCCAAATTCGCGTGCACTCGCTTGAGCGGGCTAATTCTCGCTTGAGCAAGCTCCTCTCTCGCCTAATAGAACCTCCCAGATTTCTATAATTCTTGTTTGAGTAAGGAACACCTCACTTGAGCAAGCTCCATCTCGCTTGAGTGAGCAGCGTTCTCACCTGAGCGAGATCGGGTCCAAAGAGCCACCCAATTTTCCTGCTACTTCTCGCTTGAGCGAGGTCGCCTCTTCCCTGAGCGAGATTCCTTCTTTCCTGGGCAAGGGACAATTGGAGAGATCTTATCTTATCTCGCTTGAGCAAAAATTATCTCGCTTGAGCGAAAATACTCCAAAATGTTCCATTCTGCACGACTCAATCTCGCTTAAGCGAGAACTACCTTGTTGGAGCAAGACACTCAGCATCCCAAACTGTTAATTCTTCCTAAAATGAAACAACACAAGTCCTTGACTATAATTCTTAAGTTATCACACGCAATTTCTTGATCATGTCTGTTTTCTCCATAAATCCATTTGTGGGCTCAAACACAAGCCCCTCGTGCTTGGTTTGTTAAATTATCTACTTGTTTTACTTCGATTGGATTTATATGCAGTAAAATAGATTACTCACTTTTTATTTACCATCATGACGCTAACTTCACTCTTCTACTTGTCTATGTAGATGATGTTATCATTACTAGCAACACTTCAACTTTATTTATGGTCTTACTCAACGACTCCATCAAGAATTTGCCCTCAAAGACCTTGGCCAACTACATTACTTCCTTGGACTTGAAGTTCATTACTTCTCTGGCGGTCTTACAATTTCCCATGTGAAATATGTGTGAGACCTTTTGGCCGAAGCCAATATGCTTGAAGCCTCAAAGATCTCCACTCCAATTGCTCACAAAGCACTTGAACTTGATGATGATCATGAGCCTATGGATCCTATCGAGTATTGTCAATTGTGTGGTTCTCTCCAATATCTTACCTTCACTAGATCAGATATCACACATGTTGTCAATCTTGTGTGCCAACACTTTCATAATCCAACCAAAAAGGATTTTCGTGCTGTCAAATGCATTTTGCGATACATAAAAGGCACTTTAACACATGTTCTTCGTTATTTATCTCAAAGCTCTCTCACTCTTAATGCCTTTTGTGATGCAGATTGGGCAAGATGTCCAACCACTAGAAGAAGCACCACTGGCTATTGCATCTTCATTGGCTCAAACTGTGTATCGTGGGCCTCAAAGAAACAACTCACTGCCTCTCGTGGCTTCAATATCTCTTCTTTGACCTTGGCATCACTCTTGAACGTCGTCCCCTGCTATTTTGTGATAACCAAAGTGCTATTCACTTGTCTCACAATCTAGTACTTCATGCTCGTACAAAACACATTGAAATTGATTATCACTTCATTCGTGAAAAGGTCACTGTTAGCGACCTCCAACTCCGCTGCATACCAATAACTCACCAAATTGCTTATGTGTTTACTAAAGCTTTATGCAAAGATTCCTTTGCTACTTTTCATAACAAGCTTGGCATTCATCCTTCCTCACTGCCAACCTTGAGGGGGTGTTAAGAATAGTAAAGATAATTCAAGTAAACTATTGGAAGACAATCTGCACCAATGCCTTATCTTGATTCATGGGATTAAATCAATCAATCACCATAAATTGCCCCAAATATCTTTTTCTTTTATATATTGTTACCATTGCATTGTATCTATAAATATGTACAAAACCTCTTGTAAATATTAAATGGAGAATATATACATTTAGAAAGTTTTGCAACACCTTGCCTTTCATTAGCTCAACATCAACTAAAATCCTCCATCACACACACAATATGCATCAAACCTTTACACATCAACCACACAGCTTATACATACATAATTTTAAGTCATTTCACACCACAACCATCATACAACATCACACCTAACACATAAGGACATCGTAGTTAAATGAACACATCACTAATTCCAAAAGAAAATAGGTATGCACCCAACATGGGCCTGACAAATAAAAAAGCCAAGAATGTTCTTTTGCTCTTTGCTTGTTCTTGCAATCTTTTATTTTATATTTTTTTAGTAATCAAAATTTTAAAATTTGTTGTCATAAAATATTTCGTACATTGCATAAGCATAAAAACTATATATATACACACGTATGTCGTTAGATATAAGATTGAAGTACTATAGTTGATGCAATTATTAAAGAACTAATTAATAAAAAAGTTTTATGAGATATGATGATAATATTAAATATTATATTTTTAATTTTTATTCTTATGTCTTGTCAACTATTAAGGACCTTTTGAAGTAAAAAAAAATTAAAAATTATAGTAATTTTAACAAAATAATAAAAAAATAACAATCTTTTTTTTTAAAAAAATATCTTTGATTTGATTATATTAATGATATTGATTCACAGAGTTAATATAAACAAAAGAAATAAAGGACATATTAAAAAATTATAAATAAATTTAATATAAAATCTAGTTATTCTTTAATTTATGTACTAAAATTTTAAATGGCAAATTGAAGGAATGTGAAATAAATTCTTGGTAAGAGGTTTTCTTTATGGATATTAATTAATGATATTCATATATTTTACCAAACAATTAATATTGATTAAAAATATTAATTCAATATTTAATTTTAATATAAAATTAATTTTTAAATAAGTTTTATTTCTCTAACTAATATATTTTAGATATTCGTCTAACTTGGTATTTTTCCGTAAATAATCTAATATTTTCATGTACTATACTTCTACTAATCATTTTAACATTTTATAAAAAAGAAAAATTAGAAAAAATTAATATATAAAATATTATTATTCGTCAATTATAAAATATTTTTTAATTTGTATATCAAATATATAATATTTTTTTATTAAAAAGTATATAATTCAATGCATTATAATATTAAAATATAGCAAGCTTTAATAAAAAATTATTATTTATTATTTTTGAATGTGTATTTAGTGACAATTAAAAAATTAATAAATAATATAAATTAAAAAATTATTTATATTTCATAAATTGATATTGTATTTACATAATATTATATGATTAAATTACTATATTAAATAAATAAATAGAAATATAAAAAAATTTAATAATTAATGTATTTAGAAATAAATTCTTAATTTTTATAATTAAGATAAAAAAGATAATAATAATTTCTTAGAAATACAAGTGGAAATAATCTGTTTCATTTTTATGACAAATGACACCAGGTTGTTTAATTTTAAAGAACACCCAATAATGTTAGTGTATAAATTATTTAACTTTGGTGATAAGAATATTAATTTTATTCTTTTATTTTCGCACTTTTAGATAGTTTTATCTTAAATTAAGCCATGATCATTTCACTTGTTCCACAATAAATTTAACTGTATCTATTAAAAACCTACTCATCAACATTACATGCACATAATAAATCTGAGCATATAAAATGGTCTTTGTTTGATAGATCTTGATGCTTAGAATTTCAAGTTGCAAATACAAGTAACGAGGAATAAAAATTGAGAGCAAAGCACTCGCTCAATTTACATGAACAAAATTATAGGAATCAACTAACTGCCCCAGAAAACGTTTCCCACCATAAGCAACCACTTCCACTACGAACTTAATTAGCGCACGTATGCAGACACAAGCACGTTACTTTTTGCTAGATACAGTCAAAGATGATTGCCATTGGGTAAGCGACTCTCTAACTCATTAAACCCACAAAAAGAATATCAATAACAGAACCCAGTATTAATCAACTCTCATGGTGGATGGCTTCACGGTAATTACATGATCCCAAGAAGTGGAAGGACTCGTTACATGTGTGCCATTAACTGAGGCATGTGGGTGTAACGGCTAAATCCCTTCGAAGCAATGGCAAATAATTATTTGATTTGATCACGTTGTCATTGGCGCATGCTGCTTTAGATGCTAAGTATCACGTAACCATGCATTCTCATGCTACAAAACTCTTTTTAATAGTCGCTGAATCCCTGACTTTGTTAGTACCTGTTACAAATACAAAATAACAATTGGGACAAGTTAATCCATGAGCTACTCAATCCTCTCTGTAGTTTACATAATTCTAATGCTGGTCGAAAATTTACAGGCGTTTTCAATTATATACATAAACTCAAACATCATCACTGAACATATATATGCAGAGTATACACATTCATATAGAATGTTTATTTTTAAAGCTTTGTGGAACCAAGTATTAGAGCTTACCCCTCTTCTTGAGCTTGTTTCGGAAGCTTCTTTTCCGGCTAAATGCAGTTTCCTGCAGTAAAATGGCAATTATTACGGCACAACATTGGAACCCAGCAATAATATAGAGTTGGAATTATGTGTGGAAGTATTCATTCTATTCAGTCAATGGTTAACTCTACCATCATATATGACCAGCATCAACGGTAAAAGCTCAAGACCCAATTTTACCATTACAAATTATTTCTTTAAAAATACAATCTCAATTGGAATGTATTGTTCCAGGAATTAGGCACACAACACAAATAATGCTTCAACATTTACCACAGGTTGACCAAGTTCCCCTGCCCGACGAACTGCATCAACAAGCTCCCTGTTGGATTCAGTGTACATGCTAGTAACAAGTCCAATTTGACCAGCTCTAGCTGTACGACCAACCCTATGCAAGAAGTCTACAGCAGAAGTAGCAAAATCTGCCTGAAATACATGCACAGCATTGAAAATGAACAACCATATATTGTAAATATAACAACTATGAAGAGATGAAAATAAGGAGAAAGATACATGCATTGTCATATGATGATTTAAGAGTTCTATATTATATAAAGTAACTTAGATAAGTGGCTGAAGAAACTGTGCAGGGAAGGCAGGTGATCTTGTACTTAATGAGACATCAATTTTAAGAGTTAATATCAGATCTCTGTTGAACTATAAGGAGTAACTACAATAGTCGATAATGTTAGCGGATAATTCAGTGTTTCAGACTACACATTATTAGTTGTAAAGAACCTCTTTATCTCTAGCTTGCATCAATTCACTCCTAGTCAAGAATCTTAAGACTCGGAAATTTCCATCCATTTCACTAAGTCTTCTTATTTGGATTAGTTGACAGTTGACATTCAACACTTTTTTTTGCTTCCTGAGAGATTTGGTTTTTAAAGCATAGCATAGATCCATTAACTCAGTTACTACATGCAGTGCATCATTAATCTTCTATTCACTCTGTCATCATGCTTCATTCTATTTGATCACAATAATGTTCCTTTCTTCTGAGGGTAATTAACAATCTCCGAAGTTGACACGCAACTAAACCATTAAATAACAAGTATACAAAATCACAAATTTCAGCATACTCTTCGGTGAGTTTGGTCTGCCCTTACTCCTCTATTCTAGTCTCACAAGTCAGAAAAGTACTCAAAGTCAACTTGAATAGACTGTCATGCTCATCATAATTTAACTGAGACAGATTAGTTGAATTGCTTGAGGAATTAAGGATCCTCTGCAGATAAGTTTATATACAGATACAGATCATATTAATATTAATAACTATGTCTAATTGCAGCAAACAAGGAATCATAATCAAATAACATTCAAATCACTATAATACCAAATCATATCCCAAAGATATGAATTAACAGAGATATACAGCTTCCAAATAGGAGATACTTTGTTAAGGTCCAATTGCAAGTTATGGGACTTGAGTCTCACATTGAAGGTTTACAGGATTCTAGTTTGGTTTATAAGGCCTCAGGTTCTTCAACTACAACTGTTAGCTTTTGTACTGCAGTTCTCCCAATGTTCGTAGCATACATTCAAAGTAATTTAATTTCCAAAATATAGACTATGAATGATAGTAAGCTTATGAGCAAAAGATATTGATTAGTGTTATTTTAATAAAGCAGCTGGTGATATATCTTCAAAATTAACTTCTCATAAAAATGGTATATGTAGTATTATTAATGGGATGAAAAACTTTAGCTCCATCATGTTTGTGTGCATTGTCATTCTAATTTTCTACATATACTGTAATGCTTTCATTTGACCAACATACTGTTTTTGATATCTAATCTTCCCTTTATTTGTTTTGAAACCTAGGATAAACAAAGTTTTTGTTATCATAAAATAAAAAAAAATAATTGATGCATGAAACTACTATACTTGATTAAAAGGTGAAATATACCTGAATAACATGCAAGACGTTTGGAATATCAACACCGCGAGCAGCAGCATCAGTACATACAAGAACACCACCTTTCTCATGAAAATCAACTAAGGTCTGTGCTCGCTCTTCCAATGTGCAATTCTTATGATAACGTAAACATTCAATCCCAGATCGGAGCAATATCTTTGCCACAGCTTCAACGGCCTCGACAGTATTGGCAAACACCATTGTTCTGTGAATGCCACCAGCATTATCCAAATCTTCAGATCTGAAACTGTGATTCACAGCCTTTATGAGTTCATCCACTTGAGTATCAACTGTAACTTCTATCCATTTTTGCTCCAATCTGAAAATTGTAAAGTCACAATAAATAATTAAATTAAAAAAAGCATAAACAAGCACATTATTTATATTTATACAGCATGGCCACCATGATTTGGATATCTCAAAATAGCACAAGTTCAAAGATGCTGTGTATATAATTTATAGGTATTTTTGACAGAAAGAATGGCACCAAAAACTAGTTCCTTGAGTGTAAAGTCATATATAAATAAGTGAATGATTTGATAATCTCCACTCAGAGGCTAATCATATGGGCTTCCTTTAAATTCTGTAGCTCAAATAAGAAACTAACACTGAAGTTGGAATTTTAGATATCAGGAAAGTGCCTTTCTGAGGATTGAAGAACAGTAGTCAGAGATGAGAACCTGAGTTCTCAATCATTAAAGTTGCACAATTTGTACACATAAATCTAATCAGAACTGGAAAATTTTCAGCACATAAACCCTATTTTAGTGCTAGGGGCATGTCTGGTGCTACATTTTCTCATAACCTTTTACAACCACTAGTTGGCCTCCACCACACAACTCAAACTTTTCAAAGTGTGAGCCTATGGCATGGTATCAATGCATCCATCACTAAGTTATTTAGTTAGTTTGATCTTAACCACCATCATTATTCATATTCATATTCATAACAATCTAGAATTTCAGCACAAGTGGTAATGTGCATTGTTCATGCTTCAAGCCTAAAAAGCTCTTGTGGTAGGGGGCCTATTAAAGAATAAAGCCAATTGATTTGCATGGTAATGAGTTATACATGCTTAAATTAAATGTCTGAAACAATTCTTCATCGTTTTCTTATGTTCAATTCAGGCTAACCTGGACTATGTGTGAATGTATAGTAATGCTCATAGTTCCTAGGCATTCACCTCAATATTCTTATGGACACTACTCCACATTCTTTAAAATAGTCGTACCATTTCTTATTATGGCAGTATTTGCTAAAATTTGTCTCCATTTGCATTCTTTTTATGTCATCTTCAGTTCACATTCAATGGATCAGATGACATTTGACCATTTTCCTAGACTAATTCAATAAATACATGTCATTATTTCACCACAAGAGCAATTGACTAACAAGGACCAAAAAAATTAAACATCACTATTGATAATAAGTGAGAAAAAATGCAGAACCTTGGATTGTGACAATGGAGATAGTTTCCACAAACCCACTTAGCATCAGGAAACATATGTTTCAATGTCCCTCCAGCTGTTTTCTTTCCATTCACTGGAAGTGTAGCTGCAACAAAAATATACTGTTTACTACGCTTATAATTTTTCCTCACTCTCCTCCAGTCTCTTTGTTTAGCAGATACAGCTTCGTTAGTATTATCAACAATATCCTCATAAGTATTGTCATCCTCGTCTGAGGTGGCTTCAGTTTGAAGTTCCTCTTCACCTTCAAAAGCATCTTCTGATGACAAGGAAGATCCCTGTTTCATTGGCAACTCTTCAACTGATTCCTTTGAACGAGACAAAAATTTTTCATCAAAGCGGAGCAAATTTATCAGGCGGATTACTTTATTCTGGAAGCTCCCACAGAGAAGCATATCAGCTTCATCAAACACCTGTCAATTAGAAACATGAACATACAAGTAATGAACATCAAAGTTTAATTCATATATCTTGTAGATCAAAATAGCTACATAACTTCTGAAAGATACCACATATTTAACACCACGCATAAATTCCATGCGGCGGGTTCTTTCAAGGTCAACATAATTCAGAAGGGCAGCGGGAGTTGTCACAATGATATCAGGTTCCCGAATTGGCCATCCCTGTGTTAAAGTGATTCTTAGTTTTGTGAATCAAACTGAAATTTTGAGAACAAAGAGCAGACCACAAATTCCGTACAACTATAACTATAGTTGCACAGCAATCCCAAAATACAGAATGCAAACAAAAAACCTAAAGCCTCCATACCTGTCTGCCACAAATGGCTGCCACACTAACTATCGTCTCACCATTGTCTTTACAGAGACTGCTAGCCATCCTAACTACCTGCTCACACAGTTGCACATTTGGACAAAGAACAAGCAGAACTTTCTGTGGTGGAGATACTTCTTGATCAGACACAGCGTATAGAGAATGATCATGGCTCTCACGTAGCTTATCAATTAGAGGAACTAGGTAACTGTATGTCTTACCACTCCCAGTCTCCGCTGCAATAATCACATCCTTCCCTGACAGCACAGATGGTATAGAAGAGGCCTGAACACGCATCAACATTGTGCACATCATAAGCCTCATAACCCCCCAAAAAAATGGAAAGAAAAAAAAAAAAACAAAACAAAACAAAAACCAGTTATCCCCATCTTCCAACCTATTGGTCAAGCTTCCTAATTTTATTCTTGGTACAAAACTACAACATTTTTTTAGACTGAAGGAGCTCTACAAGAGCCAAAATAGAGCTTAAAAAATAGCTTACGACTCTCATAAGCTCTGTGTAGCTTATTTTAATAAGTTTGTAGGTGTAAGTTATCAAGAAGCTGTTTTAAACTTATTCTAAGAAGTTTTATGATCAATTTTACATTACAAGCTCCCATGTGAAAAGACCTTGTTGATTGAATAAGTACTTAAAAGAGCTTATGGACAACTTATGACTTTTATAAGCACTTTTCTACTTATTTTAATAAGCTTCTTTGTATAGCTTATTAAAAATGTTGTTTTCAGCTTATCCCAATAAGCTTCATTGTTAAATGTATTGCATAATTGATGTTTTTAAAAAAAAGAACTTGTTGAATAACCCCTTAATTAAGTTATTTATCTAGATGATCCCAGGTTTCAAATTAAGGTGGAAAAGCTCAATTGCAGCGGCAACAACAAGGAAGCGAGTAAAAATTGAGGAAAAGAAAAGAAGAGTAACCTGAACGAGAGAGGGTCTGTTGAGGCCAACGTTAGAGAGTGCTCCAGAAATGGCATTAGAGAGACCGAGTGAGCTCCACGAAACGGTTTCTTCTGCGAAGAAAGTGTCTCTGCCATTGGAATCTTGTGATGATGATGCAAGAGCGCTTACAAAGGCTCTTGATTGCGTTTGGCGTGGAAAGGGGCGCGTTTTGAATAGAGAAGGCGAGGTAGGTGTGAGAAACAAGGTGCGAGCATTGTTGAAGTGGGAGAACAAGTGCAACCGAATTGGTGGGTTTTGGAGATGCAGCATCAATGCAAAACGGGTAACAATCATTACCATTCTCTTCTTCTTCCCTCAAAATTTCACTGATCTTCCAGTTCGGTAGTCGTTATCGTTATCGTTATATTGTTAAACAATCACAGAACCAGGAGGATGGGGTTTAGGGTTTTAGGTAGAAAAGAATGAGATTTTTTTTTTCTTTTATCGTTATATTGTCATTTACATTTTTCGATTCATTCGCTAATTTGCCATTAAAATATTTCATTCTTTAATTTATTTTTTAAAATTAATTATCTAATCTACACCAAACGATTAATTATCTAATTTATTAAATAAGTATCACAATTTATTAATATTACAAAAATATTCATAAAATTTAATTTCAATATATTATTAGTGTAACTTTTTTATATTATCAACTATTTAAAAAATATGAGAATATAATTTTTTTTAACTAAATATTATAAAAGTCAACTATTTTAAATGACGAACGAATGTATAATTAAATATCAGTATAGAAATTCTTTTATATTAAATATATTTTAATTAAATTACTTTATATAAGGGTGATAAAACTGGTGGGATTAAAAAGAGAGAAAAATCAAAATATGTGTCTTCTTAACTAACTGGTTAAATTACAAATGCTCAATTTGCAGATAATTTGGTCGTGAGACCTTGAAAAAAACTAATGCATTTTTAATGATATATTCACCATTTTAATCTATTTTTCATGTTTGGTTTTTCTGCTCAAAATTATTTTAGGATTGACATAAATATAACACAATACATAAATTAGGTCACACTAAACATGAATCGCTGCTCCCTTTCTATCGTGAAAGAATCTTTTTCAAATGCATTACTTAGAAGAAATTATATACATGTTACTTGAGCCATCTACCTATTAGTTCTTAATGAAAATTAATTTAAAATTTAAAATTAATAAGTTTCTAATTCATTTATTTATTTATAATAATACTCATAATTTTTTAAACAATAATCTGCATGCAAATTAGTAATTAGTAATTAATTAATAAATTAAAAAATTTAATATATACACTGCTTTTATTAAAGGAAAAATTTATAACAGATATTAAATATATTAAAAAATATTATACTACTCATAAGCAAATTATATACACATTTATAAAATTTTATTCCATTATAATAAATATATTAATAAAAATTTACTACTAAATTAACCTAACTATTTTCACAACATAATTATATTATATTATAATATACTTTATATTATATAAAAAATATATCATTATTCTTCACATTAATGATAACATTTTTCAAAAACAATAATTATAAAATATACATTATTATATTTTTTAACATAAATTCAAAACTTATCCATTTTAATAACTGTAACATTTTAAATAAATTTTCATTATTTATCATTACATTATATTTAGTATAGAATTAACTATTACTAAAATTTTTACTAAACTACTACATATTAATAATAATATTTTATATTTAATAAAAATTAAACTATAATTAAAATTAACATTAAAATTATAATAAATAAAATAGGAGAAGTTACCTCTAGATTTTAATTTTTTATGAGTTGTATTTCTTTGAATAAATTGTTGAATCTTTACTATTTTTTTTTTTAAAAAAATCAATCTTCTCTTAATTAAAATATTTTTTTCTTTATTTTTTTTTTTTACCTTATTCTCTTTCTCACAACTTCTTTTTCTTCGTAACTTTCTTCTTTTTCAAATTTTTTTCTCCCTATCATACATGGTTTCCAACTCTAATATACAAAGTGAAAATCATCGTTGATAATTTTAAGATTCCCAACTTATTTTATTCTATGCTTGACCTACATGCAAAGATCATAGTAAAATATTGTTATTGGTAATTTTACAAAGGTCCAAAGGTCAGGGATGACTGTATGCAGAGATTTTCTTAGCCATACAAAAATTGCTATTGGCATTTTTTCAAAAAATTTTGAGTACTTGAAACTTTTGAGCTGAGCATGCTTGACCAGGTTCTGTTCGTCTAAAAGTTGCCATTAATGTTTCTTTATAAGTTGTTACTGTATTTTTTGAGCAATTTCACCATAAACTCGAGTATACTTGACCTGGTTCTCCTCTAAAAGTCGTCATTGACATTTTTTGAGAACTCTGTAGTACCTAAAACTCCAGCTTGAACATGCTGCCATGATTTTATTTTTCTATAAGTTGCCATTAACATTTTTTGGAACACCATATTTACTTAAATATGCAAAAAAATATTATATTTCTATATTTTTAATAACCAAATACCATATTGAAATAATTTTCCCATTTTTAGTATGCTTTAAATTAGAGACAATATCTCTTGATGTGTGGATCCAATATTACCTTTGACTATGTCAATTACTGTAATTAGTGTGATTACCAATCAATGGTTATCAACAATATTTGTTACCTTATTTACTTGAATGTCTTAATATTAGCCTTAATCATAGGATCATGTATTGCTAGCATTTGCTCTATATGTACATTGTTACCATCAGACTAATACATCGTCCCTTACCTCCATTACATTTTTAACTTGGCATCAGAGCGCTTAAGTTTAGAAGGCTTTTAATCCAATACAAAACATGGCATTTGCTACAGATTCAAAGAATAAAAATGATTTCTCATCCATTGTGTCTATCAAGCTGGATGGGTACATGCTAGGGACAAAGGACTGTCCTGAAGAGTTCACAAGGAAAAAAGCTCAATCCTGCTTTTGATGATTAGCAGGCCTATGATTCACAACTCCTTGGATAGTTGATGAATTCAATGACTGTTGAAATAGTAATACAGTTACTACCCTATGAAACCTCAAAACAACCTTGGGATGAAGCTCAAAGTTTAGCCAGTGTACACATAAGGTCTCGAATCACTTACCTTAAATCCGAGTTTCATAGCACTAGAAAAAGAGAGATGAAGATGGAAGACTATCTAGTCAAGATGAAGAATCTTGCTAACAGACTTAAACTTGTAGGCAAGCCTATTTCCAACTCAAATCTGATTATTCAAACCCTGAATGGTTTAGATATTGAATACAACCCTATGGTGGTCAAGCTATCTGATCAAACTACTCTCAGCTCGGTTGATCTGCAGGCCCAATTGCTGACCTTTGAGAGTAGACTTGACCAACTGAATAACCTCATCAACCTAACTCTTAAAGCATCAGCAAATATTGCTCACAAAACTTATTAGAAAGGCAACAAGTTCAACACGAACAACAACTGGAGAGGTTCCAGTAGCAACTGGAGAGGCTCTAACTCCAGAGGTTAGAGAGGAGGCAGAGGAAGAGGAAGAACACAACAGTAAATTGCTACTATAGGTTTGATAAGTCCTACTCAAGCTTAAAGGATTTTGTAGAAAGTGATAGACAAGGAACCCACAATGCCTTCCTAGCTTCACAAAACTCCATTCAAGATTATGATTGGTACTTTGACAATGGTGTAAGCAATCATGTGACACACCAAACTGACAAATTCCAAGATTTGACAGAACATCGTGGTAAGAAGTCCTTAATAGTTGGCAGTGGTGAGAAATTAAAGATTGTTGTCCCGGGTTCCTCAAAACTAAACTCACTTGAATTACATAATGTCTTCTATTTGCCCAAAATTACCAAAAATCTATTAAGTGTGTCAAAATTGACTGTTGATAATAACATTCTTGTTGAATTTGATGCAAATTGCTGCTTTGTGAAGGACAAGTTAACAGGGAAGGCAATCTTAAAAGGAACACTTAAAGATGGCTTGTATCAACTCTCAAGAACTAAAAAAGACTCATCTGCTTATGTATCTATCATGGAAAGCTGGCATAAAAAACTTGATCATCCAAATAATAAAGTTTTAGATAGAGTCTTGAAAAGTTGTAATGTGAAAGTGTCACCAGGCGATCATTTTAACTTTTGTGAGGCCTGTCAATATGGCAAAATGCATTTTTTACCTTTTAAAAGAATTAATTAAAATTGATGTCTAAGGCCCTGCACTAGTAACATCCTTTTCTGGTTTTAAATATTATGCTCACTTCATTGATGACTTTAGTCGATTCACTTGGATTTACCCTCTAAAATAGAAATCAGATACCGCGCATGCCTTTGTTTAGTTTAAAAGCATGATAGAAAATCAATTCAACAAGAAATTTAAGACAATCCAATGTGATGGTGGTGGTGAATATAAGGCTGTGCAAAAACATGCAATAGAAGCAGGGATACAATTCATATGTCATGCCTTTATACATCACAACAAAATAGTAGGGTTGAGAGAAAACACAGACATATAGTTAAATTTGGCCTAACATTACTAGCTCAAGCCAAAATGCCTTTACATTATTGGTGGGAAGCATTCTCTACAACAATATATCTTATAAATAGACTACCCTCTCTAGTCACCCAAAATGAAAGCCCTTACTCCTTACTCTTTAGAAAGGAACCTGACTACAGCTCTCTAAAACCTTTTGGGTGTGCTTGCTATCCCTATCTCAAGCTTTATAATCAGCATAAACTGCAATTTCACACAACTAGATGTGTGTTCTTGGGCTATAGCATCTCCCACAAAGGATACAAATGTCTAAATTATCATGGAAGAATCTTCATTTCAAGACATGTTGTCTTCAATAAGGAGCTTTTTTCATTCCATGATGGTTTTCTCAATACAAAAAGCTCCTTAAAAACACTAACTGAAAGTCCATCTGTCTATTTTCCTTTGTCTGCTGTAAGTGTCACACATAATAAAAAAGCAGTGCTTCTAGATGATAATAATATTGATGAAGAACCAGAACCATCAAATCCACTTGAGATTGATGAAGAACAAGAACGAGCAAATCTGTTTGAGAGGGCTGATGACCACAGCAAAGATCAAATTGCAAATGATTCAACAAGAAATAGTCCAACCTCTGATGACATTGATTCCACTAAAACAATTGTTGGGGCTCATCAAGACTTTGCTGAACCAAGCACAAACATCAACAACCACTAGACCAAGAGCAAGGCTAGAATTCACAAGTCAAAGAAACCATATGTTGAATTAGTTGAAACTTGCACAGATGAGAAAGAACCAGAAAATGCCAAAGAAGCACTCATAAGACCACAGTGGAAAGAAGCTATGGACAATTAATATAAGGCCCTCATGTCAAATCAAACCTGGGTCTTGGTACCATATCGAGGCCAAGAGAACA